TCATGAAATTAATTTAGTTTATGTATAAATTTTAATATTTTATCAATATTTAAGAGAAATACTAAGATAGAACGATGAGGTAAGAAGAAGGAGAGGAGAAAATCTCATGTGAGATAGAGAGAGAGAAAGGCCTCCTAAGATAGAGAGAAAAGGAGATCAATCAATGGAGAGATAAAAAGAGATCAATTGATAGAGAGAGAGAGAGAGAGATCTCATGAGAGACAGAGAGAGAAGAACAAGTCTCATGAGAGAGGGAGAGAGAGAAATAAGACAATAATAAATTAAGAGAGAAATACAATTAACTTGTTTTCATGTTGACCATTATTCTTAGATGAATATCTACTTGAGAATTCACACACATGACATGAGGTCAGCTGTTAATGCCTCTAATTTATTTTAACCATTAGACGCTCATTAGTCAACCTTTAATCTTAGTGATTTTACATTCAAAAAAAGAAAAATATTTATTATTTACAAAATACCAAGAACATGATATGTTGAGATTCAACTATGAAAAACATGAAAAATAAGTTGAAAATAATCTTAGCTTGATCTTAGATGAGTTTCAGAGGATTTAGAAGAAGAACAAAGATTTTCATCAAGTTTTAAATTAGTTTTTACTCATTTCTATTGGAACATGTATGAAATAAAAATAACTTGTTGTAAAAAGCAGTTAAGGAAATGTTGAAAGTTGAAAATAAACTATTGTTCAAATTTAGTCTGCCTCTTGGGCAACTAAAGACACTAGTGTAGTGGCTTGGTTTTGTCTGAATGTGTCACACCATGCCAAAAGTTGTAGAAGTATCATCTAAAAGTGTTAGTCAAAGAGATCCATCGAAAGGAGAGATCAACCATATTGTCACCATTGTCTAGGGGGAAAAGAGAAGAGGTAACCACTCACCAAAGGCCTTAAGTGGAGTTAGAAAAGAAAGGAATGAATTTGTCGATCATTAGAAATATTGATCATGCAAAAAGAAGAATGAACAGATTGTCATATTCACAAGTACTGTCAAGATTTTAAAGATAATCGATAATATCTACTTTACTAGATAATAACTAATTATTATCTTTATATCTCTAATAATGATATGTGTAAAAATTTGAGTTCTTGGTGTCATGACACTTTGAGAGCCAATGGATTAAATGTGCTTGGTCATATGGCATGCTAAGCAATGCAAGATCAACTTGCTACCAACTGTTGTTGATGGATAACTTAAGTCTCTAGTACTGTGGCACCTCCTTAGCTATCAGATCATCATTTTAGGCTATGTGCGTTATGAGTGGCATTGGATTCGTGAACCGCCAATGGATTACTTAACACTTTTAAGATTGTGATAGTTCACTAACTATAGAATCTCACTTATCTAATAACATGACTCACTAAACACTATTAGATCACACTGCGCCCCAAATGGCTGCCCTGAAACACACGAGAATATTTAGTCTCGCATCGAAAATAATTCAGAGACTGAGTTGAATATAAATCAAAATTAGGTTCTCTTAGCAAAGATCTCTTCTCCCAAAAAAAAATAATGCCTAGAACAATTTTGAGAGAAGGTAAAAAGGTATTCTACCTTCACGCACACATGTGTGTATGATGCTCCTTACTCTATGATTGGATGGCCACCAGGATGTGGTAGGGGAGTGATGCACACATGTGCAAAGTAAGTCCTCTGCCACTTGAGCCCAGCTTATGGTCAGTCCCCTAGTCTAGGTTTACCCACTCGACCATAGTACCCCCTCTAGGTCAATTGTTGAGTGCCAACTTACCAACGGGCAGTGATATTCCTATATTTATAAGTCTAGGTTTATTTTTTTAATTTCTAAATAATAAAAAATTATGCTAACTAATTTAACTTCAGACTTATAAAATTAACAATATATTCCTATATTTATTCTGGTTGAAAAAATAAAATAAAATAATATCTCATCTTGACTCCATTAAGTTTTTTTTTATGTTCTAACCTTAAATTTAGAGCTTGTGTATGGAATCATTAATTAATTACTCACATTTACTTAGTTGAGACAAGTGAAGATTATGTTGATTCCCTTGGTTCTAGTGTTACAAGTGAAAAATTATCTGCAATTCATTGAATATTTATGATTACCTATGTATTTCACTAATGTTCCTCAAATATTCAATATGATTATCATATTTATTACATTAATTATGATTGATGATCTTATCATTTTATCACAAAAATTGAATTCAAGGTCTTAATCCTTGATATTTAATGATTCTTCATGTTAGGAATACATGATTAATAAAGATTACTAGTTGAAAAATTATTCTCCAATGAAATGAATGGTTAAATGGATGTAAGAAAATCATGCAAATGATCTTATCTATGCTTCCCCAAAAAATCTTTAAAAAGTTAAATTGTTGAGTACAGAACCATCTTTGAAAATTGTTCATGTTACGTTAAAAGCCACCTATATCTTTTGTCTTTCCACATGTGGTTTACTTTTTGAGCAATGGATTGTTAATGCTTTACTTCAACTTTATTAGCTAATTGACCTAAATTTCACCCGTGTAAAAAAATATGTATTTATTGGACATCCCACTTGGCTTAAAAGGTCATAAACCTTATGATCTTGAGATAAAGGTGATTTTTATCCCATGCAATATCTTCCATGAAGATATATTTCATTTCATTCACCTACCAATCTAGACCCTTAGCTAGACTCATTTTCAGATTTAGTTATTCAATTTGTTGAGCTTGATTATCTTCTTACAATATTGAATGATATCACTAGGAGTACACCATCTCCACATCCACATTAATCTCTATGGACACATAAGTCTACACATATTGGCAACCACAATCTTACCTTCATGATTTCTATTGTAATACCTTATCTCATATTTTATTCAATAAGACAATAGCTTTATCCTTTGTCTAACTATCTATCTTATAATTAATTTCCTCTTCTTGTCCAATAAATAATTTATTTTAAAAATTGCATCCAACTATGGATCACACTTTTATAAAGAAGTTATCAAAATTCTTTAGTGATTCATCATCTATGTATCAATAGGAAAACATATAATAGGATGTCAATAGATCAGAAACTCAAATATAATTCTAATGGTTGTTTAGAGAGGTAGATAGCTTTCCTATTTGCCAAGAGTTATTCACAACAAGAAGGTGCTAATTTTCTTGAAACAAATTCTCTTTTTTCAAAATCTAATTACTATCAAACTCTTGTCAGCATTTGTTGTTAAAAACCATTAACAATTTTATACAATTAATTTTTAATAATACTTTACTCAATGGTGATTAACTTAAAGAAGCATAAATAGATGTCTTTAAAATTTCATTGTGAAGATAGACTTGTTTGCAAACTTTATGAATGTATCTAAGACAATGTTACACCTTCAGACATTGATATTATAACTTATGAAGTTCTTACTTCAATATGAAGTTATTAAGTCTAAATTTGATTACTCTTTATTTTGCATATTTCATAATATTTACTTTGAAACTCTACTTATTTATTTCGATAACATCATCTTCTTAGAACCTTCTCTCTTCTTTATCAATGATTTAAATTTTTTCTTGTACACTCAACTTACACAAAGATTTTAGATCTTGAGATTTTTTGGGCTTATAAATTACTAGATTTTCTACAAGCATTGTAATATTTCAATGATGTTATGCTTTATAGTAATTAGAAGATACTAGTTTTCTTGGATCCAAACCTATTATTGTTCTTTTTGGATTCTAAACTACAATTTAATATTGCAATAAGACAATTACTTGAAGATGCATTATAGTATTGACAACTAAATGATCATCTACCATATTTGATGCTTTCACTTCATGATATTACTTTCATAGTATGCAAACTAAGTCCATTTAGAACTCAACAACAACTTCCATGCTTACATGCAATATATAATCTACCACTTTACTTAAAATCAATACTTTGCTAAGGAAGGAATATTATTTTCCACTTCATCTTATTTAAAACTTTGAGCTTTTTTTAATGTAGATTAGGCTGTATGTTCCAATTCTTATAAATCAATTATTAAATTTTATATTTTTCTTAATGATTCATTCTTAATAGGATTTAAAGAAATAATCAGCCATATCTTGCTCATCAATTGAAGTTGACTATCATCCATTAAATCAAGATTGCCAAGCTTGTTTGGATACAACATCTAACATACAAACTTAATATTAAAACACTTATATTATTTCTCTTCTCCTGTGACAATCAAGATGCCATTCATGTTACATCAAATCCCATCAGTCATGAGCCCACAAACCATATTAAGACTAATTGTCATTGTATCTATGCAAAAGTTATCAATGGCATTGCCTAGTTTCTTCCAATTTACTCTAATATTTAATTAGCAGACTTTTTCCACCAAACCTCTCTCTCTTCTTGTTTATCTTTTTTTTTACTATCCAAGATGGCTATTAAAAATAGTTTTAGCTCATCTTGAGGGGGAGTCTTAGGTTCTTCCATGTGTGAACACGTGTAAAATACTTTCCCTCCAGTGAAATAAATTGAGGATTTTTTTATTTTTATTCCTTTTCTCTCTCACTCCAGCCACTTCCATCCGTACGGTTCTCCCCGCCGTCTCTTGGATGAGAGAGAGAGAGCCTTGTCTCATTGTTGGAATGAGAGAGAGAGAGGTTCTCGTTGTAAACCCACTTCTCGCTGTCGGTTTGCGTTTAATCTCATTCTTACGTAGAGAAGTCGAGATCGAGACTAAGACGGGGAACAACGTTGAGAGCTGTGTCTTGCCTCTCTTAGAACGATGAAAGATGGAGAGTGAGAGGGGGAGAGACAGGGAAGGAGAGAGAATTTGAGAGGGAGGGAGAGAGAAAGAGAGAGAGAGAGGGAGAGAACCTCTCTCCGAGTAGGTGATATCTAAGGTATAACGTCGGGCTTTAGGTTTCATCGGCGTGGCAATGGAGCAGAACCCTGGAGCGGCGATCTCCCTGCCTCCTTTCCGGCCCTCGGAAGTAGACTGCCTGTGGGAGTAGATGGGCGACCCGCAGGTCGCTCAGTTCGCCAGCTGGGACGCCTGCGCAACCAAGGCCTCGGCCGCCGACTACCTTGCCGCCACAATCCTTCCCCAACCCTGGTACAGAGCCATCTGCCTCCACGAGAGACCCGTCGGCTTCGTTGCCGCAAGGCCGGGGACGGCGATCGATCGGTGTAGGGCGGAGCTGTCGTACGGCGTAGCGGAGATATATGTAGCAGCGGCGGCGGTTGGGATGGCGGTGGCGGCGCTGTTTGCGGAGTTGCCGGAGCTGGAGAGGGTGGAGGGGCTGGTCGCCGTGGAGAACAAGGCCTCCAAGCGGGTCCTGGGGAAGGCGGGGTTCGTCAGGGGAGTCTTGAGGAGGTACCGTGTCGTCAGAGGGAAGCTCTGGGACATGGTGTGCGACAGCCTCACCCACCCAGATCTACCGTGACTCTCCTCTCTTTCTCTCTCTGCCATTCAGAGTCTGTCTGAGTCCTCTCCATATGTTCGTCACTCTCTCTCTCTCTCTCTCTCTCTCTCTCTCTCTATAGGTCTTTTTCTCTCTCGTCTTTTCCTCGGCAAGAGTTATCGAGTCACCAGGAAAGCTCTGCGCCGTTGAGAGCAACAATCTTGGCTACATATCTCTCTCTCTATCTATCTCGCTCGACTTCTGTTCTTCGCTATAGTCCGTCTCCTCTCGTCGTCTCTCTGATCTACAGCGGTCCTCGTGGTATCGGCCGGCACATCGTACCCACCGGCACTCGCCTTGGAAACGGGCATATCCGCAAATAAAAAAATAAAAATTCTCCATGGAGCACTCTCGCCGAACAACCAAACTAGTAAACCTGCCGGGAAGGGGCATATGTCCAATTAAACAATTTCCACGGTAAAAAAATTCAACAGTGTAGGTCCCTCCCTCGTTGATGCTGCTGCTCCTGTTTCTGTTTCCTGTCGTTGCGGCTCCTCTTCCTCAGCTCTCGGTTCTCCACCGAGTACTGTCTCTTCACCAGCAGATCTCTCACCGCCGCCGCCGCCACCTCCGCCGCCGCCGCCAGCAACTCCTCCTCTTCTCCGGCCACCTCCGGCCGCCCCTGCAGCCCTCCGAGCAGCCTCCGGCCCCCGGGAACCTCGCCGTCTTCCAAGACCCTAGCCCCGGCGGCGGCGGCGCCGAGCACTTCGACGACTCTCAGCCGAGTCAGGGCCGCCGCAGGACTCCGAGAAGAACGATCCGAGGCTCCCATGGCCATCCACAATCTCTCTCCCGCAGAGCTCGTCCCCAAGCTCGTCGGAACGAAGGCATTACCGACGACGACGACCTGCCAAGGAAGTAAGGATACTGAGAAGGCTACTTCCAATCTCAAGACCAGAGCGAGAATCGATTCTCTCGATCGAATCGTCCGGAAAAATAGGACGAAAAACACGAGTCTACGGCTCTCGAAGAGGAACAGAGATTCCATTACATATCATCCCAGAGTTCCCTATGGTTAGTACACTTTCCAATCAGATGAACCCTAACGTTTCTGCGAACGTTCTCGGAATCCCATGCCAGAAGAGACCAAGAAACACAGATTCCACCGCATATAGCCCAGACTTTCCTATCATCAGTATAATTTCCAATCAAATTAACCCTACATTTCTGCAAACTTTCTCGGAATCCATGCTAGAAGAGGCCAAGAATTTGCTATAATAGATTCGGAATTCTTACCCTAGCAAGATTGAGACTTTTACCAGGGAAGTTGCACCTCATGAGGACCACTCCGTGTAATCTATGCCAGAAAATTGTTTTGACTAATTTAGTTGACTGCCAGATAAAGATGATGACATTGAAATCGGAACAAGTATTAGAGATTTACCCCTGAACAATCGCAGCAATTAAGGAACCGTCGGGAGCGGCGCATAGATCGGTGACTGCTGCAGTGTTCTGATTCTGCTCTTCTCGATCGGGCCCCAGAACTCCTGCCTTTTAAAAGCATATGCAAGACCATTGAAGATACAACTCCGACGAGAAAAAGAAAAAAGTAAACTTATAAACATTTGTGAAAGAAATTTCCTGCTTCTGAGACGATTTTCTTTCTTCATTTACTCAAGGTTTGACCTGAAGAAGCTCACCCATGATCTGGGAAACACTGACTCTAGATTTTCCCTAGATGCTACTATCACTTCCAGACACTGTTTTAACACAAGTTACTAATAATATCTTATACCAAATTCCAGACCAACCATCTTTACTAGCTAGATGAGATAATGGCTGCAAACTTCTGATAGTAATTGAAACTAGAAAAAGAGCATTGAAGATGGCAATCTCTTCTCTGTTGGGAGCCTTGTTGAAAGGGTTGACCAAAACTGTTACATGAAACAATATAAGAGAATCTTTTGCAGTGTTATTACTGAAGAATTTGGACATTGTGCTGATATTGATTGAGGGTTGACTTTTCTCGCAGTCAAATGAATCACAAAAAACACATTAAAAAAGGATTGTTCTCTTCCTTAGTTTTCATCTTTTTTTTTATTTCTTCTCCGAGTATAACACTACCCAGTGACAATCATGCATTGCTCACCATAGGAAAATAAAAAAAGAAAGGCTTTTCAAATCATTCAATCAAAGCCTTAACGAGCAAGCAGTTCAAGTGTTTAAGGCTACACTTTACAAAATAAAACCTCAGAATACGCAAAGCAACGGGAGAAATCCCCAAAAAATCAGACTGCACCAAGCTGAACAGCTTGAGATTTGATAATCTGGGAATAGTTTCTTCTGTGATGCACTGAAAAAGTCGGGCTCAATCCACAGATTACAAAGGCTCAACTAGGCAACATAGTTGGCACCAAGATTGAACCAGAGAAACACTTTCACCGGCTACCAACTCACACATCCTGGCAGCAAATCTGGGCTGCACACCCACTTGAAGACAAGGCATCAACATAGATTCTGAACTATCTATGGTAGGGAATTTATTTTTTTCATTTCTCTTATTCATGACCTCTTAACTTTATAATTAAAAGTTAAATATGCCTTTTTAGTTTTTACCTCAGATCAGCAACGTTTCCTCAAATCAGATGATTAAGCTGATCTGGTCCCTGCAGCTCAAGCTTGACATTAGTTCATAAGTTAAAAATCTTCCTAAGTTTTTTATACCACAAAACCCGAATTTGCTTCATCTTTTTTTTTTCACGCTAACCAGAAGAGCCGAGAGTCATCAAGGAGCAGTCTGAGAGCAAGAGCATTTGAGGATCTTCAGTAAGAATGGCCAGCTTTGTATCGGCTATGCAGTGGGCATGGGCATCCATTAATGGTTGACAGACAATATAAAGAAGCTCCCCCATGTTTGATACTCACAGGTTACATTCTAAATTAATATTTGAATGCATATATACTCGCGGCTGTATAATCTTGCTAACACAAGAGGTTGGGTGGAAAAAACACAAGGCACATTTACCATGCTAACCCATAAGCTTTCCCATCTTTAATGGAAGAGGTTATAAGACGTATCTACCTTCAGTCCAACCTCACAGGTATCAAGCAGGCACCCAGTTAAGAAGTTCCACAAGCACACCTGAAAAAGTTAAACTATCATAACATGAGTCTCTCTGGTTTCAAAGGCCTCGTCAGCAGGTGAGTCAGAGGTAACTTTCAGGTATATAAATGAACTCACAGTTGAATCACCACTTCCGGATAAAAGAAAGGCCTGGCCAGAATCTTGGGCGCAAATGAAAGCTAAACATGAGACAAAGCTGAAAATCATAGGGGGAGAACGGCCATTAATCACATAAAAACGATGATGAGAATAAAACGATATGCATCTAAATTCAGGGGCACTACAGGCACCGTTTAAAATATATCCTCCAATTATCAGCCATGTTAGCATCCACACAGAGGGAAAAGAGAAGGCCATAGAACAGTGTTATAGTAGAGAAGCAAAGGCACTGGCTGAGAAAAATAGGGAGCCTCCACACATTATCTGTGTCCATTTAGTTGATCAATGCATTGAGAAATTTCGACTCCGGGAACAGATTACACTGGTTTACCGGTGAATTCCGTTGGAAGTCAACTATTAAAGTGATATCTGAGCATTGAGTTCCCAAGAAAACCAAATAGATAAGAACTGAGCATGTCTCACTCTGTGTGACCGAGGCAGAAGCTTTGAATCTCGTGTGCTCCTTTCAACGGTCTCTTAGGAAACACAGTGACCTTCAGGAAATTGACATTTAGCGCATCAGTGAATGAATGGCCCTAGAAAATAACGAAGAGATGTCAAATAAAGGGGTAAAAGAAAAACAGAAACACAATTCTGATACCCGGATTTTGAAGTCACGGTCTGCACTGGCTATGAACTGCCCATCTGGTGAGAATTTCTGCAGAAATATGGCTTAGCGGCATCATGAAAGTAATAATTATGAAACCCAAAATGCTATAAATAAACTAGTTATATTACTCGTGAGTATGAACCTAGAATCGTCACTGTGAACAAATGAACAAGCTAAAAACCCTTATTAAGGCATAGAAAAAGATTACCTTTTTAGAAGAAACGAAATGAAAATCTTTGGGACCATGAACACTTACCAAACTAGTAATAATACTACAATAGTGACCAAGAAGTGGCACTGCCTTCTCTTCTGCAGATGCATTGTCGTCTCCTACATCTAGACTAAATATCCAGATTACTCCAAACTTGTCAGCAAACAATACAAAGTGGCCGTCATGGCTGATAGCGACTGCACTGAGACGCTTTTCAGAGCACCTGGAAAATGCATTTCAATAATTATTATCATCCAAATCCTAGTTTTCATATTTAATAGGAAAATGTTAGAATACAAATCTGAGTCAGAACCTAACGAAGAAGTAATGGCACATGTTCACTTTTCAGCATTGGTCGGATAATCTTCTGGTAATTGTGAAAATTTCAAAGAGGAAAACGAACAACATTCCGCTGCATAAGATGATAAAACAGGGATGAGGAAGTGAAGCTTACACAGAGCGTATGCAGCTCCATGAATCGGTCGCCCAAACCTTGACAAGCTTGTCATTCCCAGCAGATGCAAAGAGATTTCCCTCTGCGCCAAAGGCAACTGCTTTTACATCCCCTGAGTGGGGTGGCCCGCCAGAATTATCCAACAAAGAAATCGCTTTGTCTCCTCTGCTCAGAAAAATAATTGCAAACAAAAAATAATCGTACGTATCCGTCAGTGCAGAATCAGAGATATAAAACATCTGGTGCATTTGCCCAAAAGTGAACGAACTGCAGTTATCCAACATCCACGACGATTACCTACAGTCAACCAACCAGGTAAAATCATTTTCGCTTTAAAATCTCCAAGGGCAAGGCATCCTTCCCCACATAATCCTAGGTCAAACAACAGTAACAGAAGAAACACAGCTCCAATCGACCTTATTACTAGATGTTAATGAAAAAACTACACACCGAATTAGCTGATAAAATCCAGATAGTGAATAAAAAACTACACACCGAATTAAACTCGTTAATAATTAAAATCCGAATAATTGATTGTATGAACTTTAGAATACACTTCAGACTGATAAAAAGTCTAGGCGTTTTGTCGGATACATACTCCAGGTCGAAGACACGAAGTTCCGATCCAATGGCGACGACGACGGATTTCTCAAGAGGATGGACGGCAATGAGGGCCGGGGAGACCTCCGCCTCCTGGCTATGCTCTCCCTCCTCTGGCCCGCCGGCAGCTTCCGCCATCGTCACTCCTCCCGGCGCGGTGATTAGGGTTTTAGAGAGGGTTTCAAAAACCTGCTGCCCTCTCTCGCCTTCCTCCAAACATCCGTGAAGGGGCGCGAAACCCTGTCCTGTCGGGCCGAATTTTTATCCCGGCCCGACTCCGCTCGCATGATTAAGGCCCAAAAGTCGCTGTTTGGGAGCCCCGCTCCCAGGAATCGCGTTTGAGACTTCTGCGATTCGCAGGAATCCCGCCACAGTTTAGTCGGTAAGAGCTACCGCCGGAACAAGATAATACTGGTAACACACGGCAACTCTGGACCACTCACAGAAGTGGCTCGGGAAGCCAGCCCGGACCAATGAGATATCTCGCGGGAACAGTGGGGGAGAGTTCTTGGGGCCTTTTATCTATTGGGACAACCTGCGTGCGGGGGCTGCAGGCGGCGGGGGGCCGGGGGGGAATTTTATTTATTTATTTTAGATAAAAATTACCATGACTTCTTGTTGGGCTCCGTTACCGCTGGAGGCTGTTACTCAGTGCTGCCGTTCTTCTTCTCGGACGCCGTCAGCTCCTCCCTCCGCCTCATTTTCGCTTCCATCTCCGGCGCTGCCGTCGATCCGGCGGCTGGATCTACGCGGGAGGATCTGCAGGAGGCGGTCTCTCGGTGGTCTCCTCCGCCCGCAGGCAGTGAAGTACAGCGGCTGTGTCGGGCGGATGGCAGGCGGCCGCGGCGCCGATGTAGGGGACGGGTGGTCTGCGGAGCCATTCCTGGGCGGGGAGATCGAGCTCTTGGAGGCGGGGGATGCCGAAAACGGCGGTAAGTGAGTCCCTCGGCCTGCTTGAGCAATCCTCGTCCACAAGAGCTTGCGGTGTGATTTGATTCGGGACACGTGTGTGGTTGTGGCCTTGAGGCGCCTGTTTTAGATAGTCTACTTGTCTGATTACTATTTTAATCTTTGGTATCCTTGGAAAATGACCTACATTTTTCCTTTAATTGGCTCGGTATTTCTGGTTTGGTAGCGACGGACCGTACACGCAAAGACGTGAATACTTGTTTACAAAAATTATAATTTTCTCTCGCAAGTCTATTTTGTATTTTTCGTGTAATGAATTATCTGTTTCCTAGATCGTCAAAATGCCTTTTTCCGCAAAACGTGTCTTCTAAAGCTTTCTTGCTTTTTAACTTTTAAAATGTACTCGGAATGTTCCCATTTCCGAATTTATCTGCCTTAGAACAGTTGCAATTTGAAGAAGTTAAAGGAATGGTGTAGGTGATGATGCTGTTCATGTTGTGTCTGATGCTGTTTTCTATAAGGTGCCTAACGCCCCTTCAGACCCGTCCTCACTTTCTTTGTTAGTTATTTTTCATAAACTGAGTTTCTTCTTCTGGAATAGCGTTTAGGTCCAAATTATTTATCTTTTACTAACGTCATTAGCGGACAGGTTTGATGCTTCGGCAGGAAATAGTGATTCATCTATATCGATTATGTTCACAGGAATTAGGGTGATGATATTAATATTCTTGAAATATCTGTTCTATTTCTAATTTTGTGCCTCTTTTGGTGAGCATGTAACTTTCCTATTTGATTCATTAAGCCTTTTGTTGAGATTCTTGATGCAGGTTCTACTGCATTCAGAAATCATGTTGGCCTTAAAGATGAATCCGCTGGCAAACTTATGGACGGGGAGACGACCGTCTATCATAGAAAGATTACAGAGAAGATAGAGTCTTCCATGAGAAGTTTAAAAATTTTCGGAGTAGAACTGTCACCAGACAATATTGCAGTTGCAATTGTTTATTTTGTGCAAGGAGTGCTAGGTCTTTCCAGGCTTGCTGTGAGCTTCTATTTGAAGGATGATCTCCATCTTGATCCAGCTGAGGTATGCTTATACTTTTAAGTTGAGGAAACTTACTTCACTGAGATGAGACAATGCGCTTTTCTTACTTTCCAATGTTCACTGTCATTTTATTCAACTTGCATTATTTTATTTATTCATGTGCCCTTTTCCTTAATTCTGTCAATCATTTTTCTAAAAGTGTACTTTTATTTTTTGGCTGGACTTGTGGAGCACTTTTGTATTTAAAAATGTTAAATTTCATCTCGAACATTGAAATGTGTTTAATACATATTTTACATAAAATGACTCATTTGATCTCTTGTCAATTAGACAGCAGTTGTAACTGGCATATCTGCCTTACCGTGGCTAGTGAAACCTCTCTATGGGTTTATCAGGTGTGTATTGGCTACTTATTTTCAATATTTGAATATGTGCTTCATTTAGTTTTAAAAATTTTAATCTCTTAGCATGGTTAATCATTGCAGTGACTCCATCCCGTTATTTGGCTACCGTAGAAGGTCTTATCTTATTCTGTCTGGGCTCCTCGGTGCATTTTCATGGAGTTTGATGGCTACCCTTGTTGACAGCAAGTACAGTGCTGCATGCTGCATTCTATTGGGATCACTTTCAGTCGCTTTCTCAGATGTTGTAAGTTTCACGTCCGTATGAATGGGAAAGAAACTATTTCCCAAATAGATATCTTGCCTTTTGCCAAGTCCTTCTAACTATAAAATTCTGTAAGTATAGAATGGATACTTCAATTGCTATCTGACATCTTTTACAGCCAAATACCACGTGCCAACTATCTCCTCATATGAAGTTCAAAGATTGATAGAACCCACCTTGATTTTCTTCTTGTTAAGCTGTATTCAGCGCATTGTTGGCGTATGTCAGTTGCATTTAAAATCCAAGAAACATTCCTTGTAAAAGTTGACCTGCCATGTCGCATGGATATTGGCTTATCTACCTTCGAATTCACTCATGCATATGTGTCTATTATGTATGTATGTAGGTATAGTTGTAAAAATTTAAGTCACTGCTTAAATTTTTTTCTGATCATAAGTAATGCCTGGATATTTAACTCATATTTTACTGATTTAAAATAACACGACAGACCATAACGTCAAAATAGAAGACTCCTCCAAGAGTGTCACGGGCCTCTTCTATTTTTTTTCTGCTGTGTATTAGTTACGTGGAAGGCAAATGTGTACTATGTATACCAACTCCGAATTTTAACTATATATCGTACTAGAGTCAATATTTGCTTTTGTCTGTAAAGGGCATGGAGTTCATGGTGTTGCACGGAAAATCTTTGTTTAAAGAAAAAAATACTTCTGCAGGTTGTAGACTCAATGGTCGTTGAGAGAGCCCGTGGTGAATCACAAAGCACATCTGGATCTCTTCAGTCATTGTGTTGGGGTTCTTCAGCTTTTGGAGGGATTGTAAGTGCGTATTTCAGTGGTTCATTTGTGGACGCTTATGGTGTAAGGCAAGTTTTTACTACCGAGTTGACATCAGATCTTAAATGATTTGTTCCAATTTTAACGTTGTTCCCATATTTTCTATTGCAGATTTGTTTTCGCAATCACAGCTTTCCTTCCATTGATGACTTCTGCTGTTGCTGTTCTTGTGAAAGAGTCGCGCATACCCACTTCTGAAGCACTTAACATACCTATAGGCTTTTTTGAGAGTTCTCAGAATAACATCTCCCAGTTATGGAATGCTGTTAAGCAGCCCAGTATCTTTCTGCCGACATTATTTATATTCTTGTGGCAGGCAACCCCTCAGTCAGACTCTGCTATGTTTTTCTTTACGTTAGTATTCCCAAAACTGCTTCTGTTACTTTTTTTGCTTTATCTGTCTTCCCAATAGTTATAATATATCCAGGCGCTTAAGGGTTGTGCCTCGTGTGCTATTTTGAGACTCTTTTGATTGATATTGAGGCATCTAAACCTGTTGTTTCCTCTCCACTTACCATAACTAGTTAATTAATTCAGGTTTGATTTAGATGATTGAATATCATTTCCGAACTGAAGTTAATGAGAAATAGATTGCAATTTTAATCGGATAACTATCCTCAAGTAGCAAAAAACTTGATGTTGATATCATTTGCCTAGTAAATGTGACAATTATTCGCTGCATTTCTATAGGAAAGTCGCTCAGTTTTCCAGTTTCTTTCTTGCCATTATGCAGCTGTCCTACCTAAACGTTTCGGAGCATTTTGTGTTTAAAATTGTTCTCACAGACCGATATGGTTGGTTACATGTTTAAAATTATTCCCTCATTGCCACCAACTTATCTTGAACAGCTTATTGAATTTTGTAATGGTATATGTGATGCTATATCTGTTCATATTGCGCTAATGTCTTTCAATATTTTATTGTCTCATGTACTAATGAGCTTGATATCTGGCGTAGCCATTATCCACTATACGATCGTAAATATGTTGATTGTGCTTCTCTCAGGATTTGCTCATCTTGAGATAGACCATGTTGTAGAGATAATGACTTTCTGTTTCTTCTTAATCAGAGAGTGTAACCATATTGTTATTTGCTACATTGCAGGACAAATAAGCTTCGTTTTACTCCAGAATTCCTAGGGCGTGTCAAACTTGTTACCTCAGTAGCATCCTTGGCTGGTGTGGCACTTTACAACGGATTTTTAAAAAGTGTTCCACTACGGAAGATTTTTCTCATAACGACCATCATGGGTTCTGCTCTTGGAATGACTCAGGTGCTTCTTGGCTGCCTCCCCCCCCATCCCCCCCACCCTTATAATGTATTTATAGGCACTAACTGATAGATCCCTCTCACCAACTTTAGTTTTGGTTGAAATGAATTTTTACGTTGCAGGTTGTCCTTGTCACTGGCCTGAATCGACAGTTGGGCGTCAGTGATGAGTGGTTTTCTATTGGGGACTCTTTGATCCTAACAGTCCTTGGTCAGGTGATGACCTCATCCTTTATCCTCCAATGCATCACGTTTTCGTTCCAAAATTGAATTCAAAGAATTCAAAACATAAACTTTTTCGACTGTTTTCTTTTTCTGACTTTCTTCTCTGAAAGGTGGGCTCTGGTGAGCTTTCTTTCATGTTTCACTTCATCTACTTTAGATGGTCTACCTTTAATCCGCTTCCCATTTTTAAATAGGCGAAAACATATAATGGTGGAAAACCTAGATTCTGTAAATTTCTCTCAGCACTTTGAAATCAAAACTTATGTGAAATAAGTACCATTTGTCTAAAATAGTGCCTCTGAAGGTCTTTGCTGAACCTTTCCATTTCCCCTTCTCTTGTGATTATCTACATACTCAAAAATTTACGCTTGGGATCATAACTGTGGTGAGTTTAATCGAAGGAAATCACTGAGCTCAAATTGGATCATGCTTTGGGATCCATCCACTGATTTCAGAAATTTTCTGTCTCCCTCTATCAAGGAAGACTCACACTTGCACTCACAATCGTCATAAAATGATGCTTTCTTCTGCAGTTGGAGATATTCCAAGAAGATACATACGCTGCTCTGCTAACCTCTTCCATTCTCTCATGGCCATCGATTGGCGTTCATACTCAAAACGCTCTCTCTAACAACACTCTCATTGCAGGCCTCTTTCATGCCCGTGCTGGTTCTTGCCGCGAGGCTGTGCCCACCTGGCATGGAGGCCACATTGTTCGCTACCCTCATGTCCGTCTCGAACGGCGGGAGCGTGCTAGGAGGGCTGGTGGGCGCCGCCCTGACTGCTCTGATGGGCGTCACAAAGGACAATTTTGACAACCTAGCGGTCCTCATAGTCGTCTGCAACCTCAGTTCCCTGCTTCCCCTCCCGCTCCTACGCCTACTCCCTAAAGAGAGTCCAGAGAATCCAACAGGTCAGGATACGGAGAAGTTCAAATGATCTTCATCTGAGCCATTCAACAAATTCGCCGCATGCTCTTCGGATGATCCCATCTCACACTGGTCACAGATCGGGAAATGTCTATTGTCAGAGAATGAATGGGAGAAGGGAGAGCTCACATGGCATCCATAACCTGTACATCCCCACATCCAGCTGCTGACTTTTATTTATACATGATAGGCATCCCACAGGTCAGTCCCCCGACCCATCATTTTGACTTGTTCGGGGAGAAAATCTACATCTCTCTTTTATTTTATAGTTGTATATTTCCAATTTTCTCCCTAAGTCGTTTCTTGTAAAAATTAATGGGTTCATCATCACTGTTTTTTGAGCAATCAGTTGACCGAAGAAAGTGTATATGTTTGTTCTGTTTTTCACTGCTGGGTTAGAACGCTGCCTCTTCTTTCCTGTCACTGCCCCACCTGAAAGAGCATTCAAGTCTTGCATATGTTTGACTTTGACGTCTCAATGGGTTCTGATCTTCAGTATTACATAATATCTGTTGCAATCCTTCCCACGTTCAATTATGTCGTTCTGAGGAATTTTTTGAATCTATGACACCAAACTACTTTTAGATAGTTATTGATAAAAAAGCCGATTGAAGGGAAAAGTTGAACGAGATTTTGATGCCCAAAATCTCTCTCCTCTGAATTTCCTTGAGATTATTCCTTCAGCGAGGATAAGCTCGGAGAATCTCCTTCTTTCATGGGGTCATCGGGTCCAAATGGGAGCCTCCGCATGTTTGGATCACTGCCCAACCGGATGTTTGGATCACAATAATCTCTACATAACAGCCACCGACAGCGTTGATACTCCGTAATAAACAGAGATCTTCACCAGAACCCATTGCAGGAGCACCTCCCGTCCCTGAAATGGTGGAACCGGGTCCTGTCTCTGAGAACGACCTCCGTGGCGAAGACCCCGGAGAAGGCCGCCATGAAGGCGTGGCAGTCCTCGCAAACCCTAAGGTTCTTCGCTATCCGCACGCACCCTCCCCGCCGCCGCCCGTCGCCGTCGCCGATGAGCGCGAAGGCGAGGGCGAGCTTCTCGCTGTGCAGGAGCACTGCCCGCTTCCGATCGTCCTCTTCCTCGAGGTCCAGCAGCACGCAGCGCGTGTCTGGCACGTACCCGCCGGCGGCCTCCAGCCTCTCCACAACCTCCCCCAGCTTGGCGCGGATCTCGCCGGACCTCGGGTGGGCCTCGTCGGCGGTGGCGAACTCGTGGACCTCGCCGCCGGCCTCCGTCCAGCTGCAGCCCCTCTCCTTCACCAGGCCCCTCGCCTTCATCGTCTTCCTCACCTCCGCCACCGCTGCCCACCGTCCGGCGCCGGCGTAGATGTTGGAGAGGAGGACGTAAGCTCCGTCGTGGTCCGGGTCGAGCTCCAGGATCCTCCTCGCCGCCGTCTCTCCCAGCTGGAGCTCCCCGTGGACTCTGCAGGCCGCGAGGAGGGCCCCCCAGACGATGACGTTGGGCTCGAAAGGCATTCCCTCGATGAGCTCTATGGCCTCCGGCAGGAGCTTGGCCCGCCCGAGGAGGTCTACCATGCAGCCGTAATGCTCCACCTTGGCGGTGACCCCGTGGGCGGCGACCATGGCGTCAAAGACTCGACGACCGTCGTCGACCAGGCCGGCATGTGCGCAGGCGTAGAGAAGCCCCAGGAAGGTGACTTCGTTGGGCTCCACACCGGCGGATTTCATCCTGTCGAACTCTCGCAGGGCGGCGGCGCCGTCGCCATACATGGCGTAGCCGTGGATCATTGCGGTCCAGGAGATGACGTTCCTGTGGGGCATTCCATCGAACACCCTCCTCGCAGCGGTAAGGCTACCGCACTTTGCGTGCATGGCCACCAGCGCGTTGCCAACCGGCGTGGCTTTCAGGAAGCCGCCGCGGTCGGCGAGGCGATGCACCCACCTCGCGGCGGCGGGCGCGCCAAGCTCGGCGCAGGCGGAGATGGCGCCCAGCACGGCAACCCCGTCGGGCCGCACCCCGCGGGCCCTCATCTCGTTGAACAGCGCCAGCGCCTCCCGCGGGCGCCCACAGTCCACATACCCCGCCACCATCGCCGTCCACGCGACGAGGTCCCGCTCGCTCATGGTTTCGAACACGGCCCGCGCGGCGGGGGCCATGCCGGCCCTGGCATAGCCGGAGATTAGGGCGGTGGCGGCGACCGGGTTCCGCGAGGGGGCCTCGTCGTAGAGGGTACGGGCGAGGTCCATCGCGCCGCAGCCGGCGTACATACCGATCAACGCGGCTCGAAGATGGTCGTCCACCTCCAGGCCCGCGTTGGCAATGTAGGCGTGCACAGCGCGGCCGGAGCTCAGGTCGCCCATGCGGCCGCAGGCGGAGAGAACGGTGGCCAGAATGATCGCGTCAAAGGAGGTGGCCACCTCGTCCTGCATTTCTCCGAACAGGGAGAGGACCTCCTCGTAGCAACCCGTCTGGTAGTATCTGCCGAAAATTGCGCAACTTCTACGTGAGAGAGACAGAGAGACAGACAGACAGACAGACAACTTACCCATCGAGCATGACGCCCCAGGCGACGAGGTCTCTGTGAGCCATATGGTCGAACATTCGGCGGGCGTCGTCGACGAGACCTGTGGTGGAGTAAGCTCGGATGAGGCCCGTCTGGACGAAGGGATCGGAGTCGAAGCCGAGCTTGGCGGCGAGCCCGTGGAGGTCCCTGCCTACGCCCACCGCCGCCGGTCGGGGGCGGACTCTCGCCACGGCCTTGAGCAGCGGCGGGAAGCTGAATCTGTCCAGGGGGACGTCGTCCTCTCTCATGCGGGCGTAGGCGAGGAGGGCTGTGTCGGGTTCAGCGCTGCGGGAGAGTACTCTAAGGAGGCGGTTGCAGAGGGGGATCGGCGGTGCCGCCACCCCGCAGAATACGGAGACGGCGTAATGTAAGGAAGAGCTGGAGGCGGAGGACAGGGAGAAGGATAGGAGCTTGGAGAGAAGAGGAAGGGAGATGTCGCGGACGCCCACCTTGAGGAGCTGGGCGTGGAGCTGCCTCAGGTGGGGGATGGAGGTGGCACTGTCGGCGGCGGCCGTGGCAGCGGAGACGAAGACGGAGTCCTGCTGCCGCCATTGACTTCCTCGAGGTCTAGGAGGTGGCGGGGGCGAGACGTGGAGAGGGGTCGAAATCGTCGGGCCTTCCATCTCAGATGAAGAACTCACGTAGAGAGGGAAAATGCAACAATTTGGTTCAGCAACATGGAGAGAGAGAGAGAGAGCGAGCGAGAGATCAAACTGTCATTTTGTATAATAAATTAGATCATGTAATATATTTATTGCAAATATAATTGAAAGGTGAACACGAGACAGCAATGTGGTACAGAAATTGGAAGAATTTGAATTATTATGAATTTCATGAGATTATCAAACATTTCATGGAGCTTAAATTTAAGATATGGATGTGACAGCTAATTGTCATTTTCAAGCTATTACAAACAACCGTTCAATGGGCCAATATGTGGCAGATAAATTATGTGCTTTGGCCCATATTACAATTGATCACGACAGAAAGAGAAAAATTGAAGAGCAAGTTGCAATGTTTATTTTCCTTGTCTCAAGAGTTCAAATGTAAATCTACATTCTTGAGCATCGAAAAGAGCAAGAATTATGCTACTATTCAAGATACCAAAAAGTAGGGATCATGCTACTATTCTAGATACCAAAGAGCAGGAACCATGCTACTATTCAAGATACCAAAGAGCAGGCATTCATCAGTTGTTTCAATATGATTTAGAATTCATATGATTTACATGTATAGGTGCTATTATTATCATATTACTTTGTATCTTTGAAAGCATATATTGAGATATTTAAGCATAAGTAATAATATAAACCACAGTTGAAATGAAAACTATTTGACTTCATATGCAATATTAGTACACAATGTAATTCTCATTTACTAGACTGATAAGTTCAATGTGCAAAAGTCATTAATGTAAAAGTTTAATATGTTGAGGTAATAAGCTTAATGTACTCTATATACGATATAACTCACTGCATATTAACATTTCAAGTTTTATGTACTCTATCGTCTTACATCAAACTCCAAATGAATTGACTTTGTTGATGTCATGGCTACAAACTTTCGCCAGTTGTGTTGTTCTGCAAACTCATATACTAACTCTTAGTTCACTAAGATATTAACATGTATGTGCTATGTCAGTGTATAACAAAAAATGGTATATTAAAATATTATTGTTGTATTATTTTGTATTGCGAAACTAACATTTTCTGCAATGTTATCTTTTACCATTAGTATACTAAAATATTATTGGTAGTATATTGTGCTTTATACGACAAATATTTTGTATATTGAAAAATAATCTTGTTGTTGTACTATGCTATTGCAAACTATAAAAGGACAATTTTACCATTGCATGCTTTCATCACTTTGAAAGGTCATGTAAGATTTCAACAGTCCACACCTAAGTCAATGCAGGTGCTAGGTAAGTTACCTCAAGAAGACCAAAATTATTGGAAATATTCTCATGACAAAAGACAGATATCTAGAAGTTAAATAGATGTAAGCTAAACACATAAAGCACATTTTAATATTAAGAAGACTAAAATATCCTCTATTGGTATTTCCTCAATATGAAAACTTGTGTTGATCCCTCCCTTTTCATGAAGACAACACTAGTGTTCTTATGCTAAATTAGAATCTTTTAAACTGAGCTTCTAATTTTAAAAGCTATAAAAGATTTCTAAGACAGTTCCATTTGTATGAAGAATATAATTCAAAACTTTGAATGCAAAATAGTTCTAACAATTTTAAAAAAGAGAAAAGGCAGCTGATTTTTGCAAAAATTCAGAAATCGGCACTTATACGCAGGTTTAGATACGTTGGTGTTCAAAGAGTTCTCCCCTCAGACATTACCCAAGTCATGGTCAGACAGATCTGTATACATCTGCAATGTGAGACTGCTTTCTATAAGGTTTGTACATTCTTTGTATTACCGAAATAAAATTAAATATACGTAACAATTCAAAACGCAGTCAAGTATAATTCATTACATGAACAGATCTGAGAAAATTTCTACCTCATTTTGGCAACAACGAAAGCTAACCTCAAAAAGAAAAAAGGGGCCAAAAGTTTTTAGTCGCCCAGTTGCAGCATGAGCAGAAGCCACTATTATCTACGACAGATGACTTTACCAGCATCACTATGGGATACCGATCCATCTTGTCCTAATGCAAGTAAGCTGATCATCAAGGTATGGAAGTAGTTTTAGGGTGTCTCCATGCAACACGGATGGAAAGGGCCTAGGAGAAAGAGAGGCTACTGCAAGGGGAGGAATATGGTAAGAGTTATTGGACTCTCCTTAACATAAGGGTGCCGAAAGGTCTACCATCATCATTGATGCACACATGTAAGTCAGAGTGCTATGATAAACATAATTGGATCCTTAAAAGCCTGGTGGGAATCTCTCCACTTAGATCAATCTGAGATTACGGCAAGATACAGCTAGTGACGGTTTCGTAAGGTAGAGCAGATCATCAGGAGATCATATGTTTCATGCGCTGAAGGATAAAATGATTACGATCGAAAATACCTAGCAAGATGGGCTGGCGTTGTGATTCACAAAGGCAGAAAAGGAACAGTTTTTGGCGTAGAGGGTTGGTGCCAAGCGGAGACGTGAGGGACCACATAAGGCAGATGGAAACGTGAGGTGCCAAGCGGAGACGTGAGGGATGAACACTTGTCTCAACGAAGAGCGGCTTCAGCAGACTTGAGACAGAAGTGTGGTTGACGGAAGTATGGGTCCACAAATGGATACTAAGGTCGTGAGAGCAAGCTAATGACTATTTAAGGCGTCTAATCAGAAGATTAGGAGAAGAGAGGGAGACAAGGATGAGAAGACATGCAAAGAGAGAGGAAGAACGAGAAGAGGCGCAGAAGGGAGAGGGAGACGGGAAGAAGAAGAGAAAGAAGATAACGCAGAGATTGGGGCATCTCATCCTGCGTGAGGATCTCTCTCCCATCTCTCTTCGTCTCGCTAGCTGAGGCAAAATCAAAGTAAAAATTCTCAATTCAATAACCCAAGACGAAGATTACAGAATTTAAATAGCCTCATTTAAATTCTTTCTCTCTATGTTTGTCTTTATAGTGAAAGAGAAAGAGAAATACATATCCGTACATATATTATTATCCACAAATAAGCAATTGTTATCCCAAATTAGCATTTTTTGCCTAAATAAGTCCTTCCTCTCATTTTCAGCTTAGTTACTACTAATTAAGGGAAGCTATGAGTTTCCCTCATTCACATGTTGCTGAGTCTTTCAACTTCCACCTCCCCCAAATCCCGATGGACTGGAACCAAAAATCACGGGCCGCATAATCATTATTTATCGAGATTGAGGCCGGAAAAGATGGATAAAGATTAAAAAATAAATAATAATATCTTGAAGTCCTTGTAAACATAAAACACGGTTTCATGTGCGCCCAGTCCACTGTAGCCGCATTATTCTGAGGGGCAAGCGTGCCATGGCGCGTGTCGATGTGGTACCACATCTCAAATTCAATAAAATAGAGTTATTACGTATATTGGAGTTATGGAGACTACAAATCTGGGGGGGGGTTCATGGGGATACTTCCCTTACGTGGAAGGCACGTGTCACCATGTGCAACGCTGCAGAATCAAAAGAGGGCCTTGGGAGAAAATTACTAAATTGGGTCAGAGGAAATATCTTACGTCACGAGAGGAGAGAAGTCGTGTGGTCCCAAAGAAAGAGGGTAAGATTTTCGGTGCGTTGGCAGACTAACATCTCGACACGTAAACGGATGACGGTTCCCCCTTCTGGGAACGATAAATAGATTTCCCTCGTATTTACTACGGATTCGAAATGGATAAGATCTCGGGGTTCGGAATAGATTTGGATAAATGCCACTGAAAATGTACATAATTACGTCAGCCGCTGATCCACATGATCTATGGATGTGAGGCCCCGTGGGCACATGAGATGCCAAATCGGGGACAGAATTTTGCGCCAGCTGGAATAGTGGGGGGCCCTCAACGTGAGCCCGTTTTCCGAAGGGGAGCGAGCGCCTTGTTGCACAGTGAGGAGACAGAAAACCGCCCTCCAAATCGAACGATTAGACGGGCAGAGAGAGAGAGAGAGAGGAGAGAGTGGCAGAACGGGGGACAGTAACTGGTTTAGTGGGTGAGAGGGAGAGTAGGAGGTGGGAGAGATGAGAAGACTGTGTACACAGCGAGCGAGATAGAGATAGAGAGAGAGAGAGAAGACCAAGCCTCGCAGGGACCATTTGGCAACCCCTCGCTGAATGTCGTGTCAGTTGCTCATGCACCTCGGTGCTGTACAGAGTCTGTTCTGTTTTGCCGTCGTCAAAGACGGAAGAACCTTCCTCACTCCCTCTCTCTCTCTCTCTCTCTATCCATCTGTCTATCGTTATCTTTCTTACTCGTTCTCTGTTGATTTCTGCTTGACACACAACGGAGAAACACCTCTCAGCGACCCTCTGAGTGTCTCCCGCATTCTTTCTCCTCATTTGTCTGCCTTCTGTTCTATTTGGAGACGCATCCCTCCTTCCTCCGCGGCTTCCTCTCCCTGCTTCTGCAGCTCTGGGGGAGTCCACTGTGATCTCTCTAGATTGCAGACTGCGATGGAGATGGAGACTAGCCTGGAGTCTTAAGACTCTGTCGGGAATGATATATCTGATAGAACAGGGTCTATAATCTCGTCTGCTTTTCTGCATCAAGTAGAGCTTATGTTCTCGAGGATCAGATGCGTCATTATTTTCTCCTCAGATGATTATACGCGTTCGATATCGTTTCCTTTGGTTTCGAGGAGTTCGCCGGCTTGCGAGAGGGTTTTGAGTGATTTCCGAGAGTTCTTTCAGGGTTTTTATCAGAAAGTGCTAAGAAATCGCTGGAGGCTAAGCCCTTCTCCCTCCGCTCCGCTCCTTCGGCCTCCCTTCCCTCTTTCGTTCCCGCTTTATATTTCCGTTTGGGGAGCCCCAGTTTTTTCTTTGGGTCTCCGCTTGCCGTCAGGGTGTTTTCTTCTGGGGAGTTGGGGATTTGAAGCTGGAACCGATTTAGATTAGAAGGCATACCGTCTGATCTCACCGCCGTGGAGAAGATTCAGAGGGCTCTCTCTCCTTGGGTGACTGCCGAAGGGGGGGATCTAGGATACAAAGGAGACTAGAAAGGACGAACCGCTCTCTCTCTCTCTCTAAATACACTAGGAACAGGATCTGCTGGTAACCAAAATGAGGAATATAGCGGCTGCTTGGGCTCCATTCCCGCTGTAAGGTCAAGCTTCCCATTCAGATTTAATATCAGAACCTGCAGAATTTTTCCTCGATTATCTGGATTCGTCTTCTCAACGTTGTGTTTCTGCGCTGATTTCTCGTTGAGAATGAAAAAATTGAAGAGCATCAGATCTGATAGAGACCTCGTCTTTCTTGTAGTTCCAGTGGCTTTCTCTGAGCTTCTGCCCGTGGCCAAGGCAGGCGAAGGTTATGCTGAGGAGGAGGAGGTCCGGAGGAGCTGACTACTCCACCCTCTCATCACCCTCTGGCAGATACACCAAACCCTCCGCCTCCCTCTTCCCATCCCCTCGAGTTTCCCCTTGCGGTCTCACCGGCAAGGGGTTCTCAGACCCACAAGTTGTGATGAACCCTACCTCCATTCTAGTGACCAACCTCTCCTCTACCGGAGGGAACACCTCCTCCGGAGTAAACTTGATGAAGCCTTCTGCAGAGGCCTCCGGCCGGCCGCCGCATGAGAACCGGCGGCGCTTCTGGGAGAGCGGGGGCTTAAGAGGCGTCGGGCTCGCCATTGTTGATGCTCTCAACGACGAGGGAAGTGAGTCGAGATCGTCTAGACTCCATCAAAGGATGGTCTTTCTCGGATCGCGACTGAAGATCCAGATACCGCCGGCACCTCAGTCATCCTGCGTCGAATCCCCTCGCGTTCCGATCGAATTCGGCATCAAAACCAAGAATTTGCTTCTTGGTTCCCTCTCGCCGAGCTGGAGTCCGAAGGTGGAGGCCTCGGCTCCCCCGCTTCTTGCGGGTTCTCTATCCATGGCTGAGAGGGAGCTCTCGGAGGACTACACCTGTGTGATCACCCGCGGGCCGAACCCGAAGACCGCCCACATCTTCAACGGCTATGTTGTGGAAAGCCGAGGCGAAGGCCTACCTGCCCAGTGGAGGGCGAGTAGCTTGCTGACAAATCAACCAGAGGACTCTTCGGCGGGGTTTTTGAGCATCTGCTATTTCTGCAAGAGGGGTCTGGGGCTGGGCAAGGAAACGTATATTTACAGGTCAGTCATTGGCTCTTTCTCTCATCATCAACGACTACTCCATCACCAGCGATAATCTGGGAGATGTTCTTCAGAAAACAATACGCGAGAAGCAAGCTTCTTTGACTAGTTATTTTATCTAACGTAAGGTTCTCATGGTAGACTATGATCGCCTGCTTTCCAGGGGTGACAAGTCGTTCTGCAGTATGGAATGCCGGCACCAGACGATGCTGTTCGACGCCGAGGTGGACGACTATTCCTCGAAGCTCGCCCGGTCCCCATGATTTCTCTTCTCGTTGATCCGACGGAGCTTATCGTTCCTCAGCCCTGGTAAGTTCTTACGGGGGCCCGGGGATTCCCGCTTCCATGCCATAGGACTATAGCGTAGTTACAGTGGATAATGGGTGATCGTCTACTATTTTATTGAGATACCAGAAGATCACTGGGAGCCCGCAAATGTTTCCTGTTTTGGTCGGTAGCCCCCATTTCCAGGGGATGAGAAAAGCTGTTATCCCCCACATGGGATTCAACAGCTTTCTACTTTTAGGCATTGCCGTACAAAAAGAATACACAGCTTGTGAGCTTGTGAGCTTGTGAGCTTGTGAGCTTGTGAGCTCTGCCCTTTCGTCCCTTGGAAAAACGTGAGGCCCCAAGTTAGATGTTTCTGAACTCGAAGTTACCTCGTCTTCGAGGAAGGTTACTGCTAATTGGCCCGAGCTATATGCTTCTAAGGTCTTAACCTGAAATCTTTCTCTCGCTGGGTTGGCCCAACGTTAGAAAAGCGGGGAGTACTGGATGTTGGGCGGACACTGGTAAAACCGAGTCCTCCTTGTGGCTGTTTAAGACTCTTCGGTTCCTGCTTTAGTCCCAGGCTGGCCCGGCCCATCCAGGCCTTCTATTCAAAGAACCCTCACGTTAAATATCCCTGCCAAAGAACGAGCTAAGCAGCCGCAGCCTTTTTTTTCAGAAATTTACATCGGCGTCAGCTGCTTAATGACGGCCGCGTAGACGCCGTCATCGGAGATCATCCACCGTGTGGACCTCTCTGACGTTGACACTCGATGATTAGGTCAGCTGTTGTCCCCACCCTCCCCACCCCAGGCTAAGGGTCATCCACATACTCCCACTAGGTATGTGCCGGAGAGCCCATGAAGAGAGGATTAATTGCACCAGACAACCCTGTCTCTGGCCTTACCGCTGACCTAGAATTTTTTAATACAGTTGATGTATTATATGACTTCCCTTCATAAAATATTGACCTATTTTATTTCATTTCATTCGAGGGGCAATGCACCCTTCAGCAGAAGGTCAAAAGGACCAGGAACATTGGGTTCGGTTGACACGTTAAACTAATTTCTAAGTAAAATTCTATTTCTATTTTTTATCATGCCTATTATTCCCTAGCTGAACTTGGGCTTGAAATCATCTGCTTGAAATCTCGCTGTCAAATGTATTGCAGATGTATAGATAAGTCCCACAAAACTAATCCAGAGTAAGGTTTAATGCCGTCTAATTCGAACTTTTGATTCATACTTTCACATGGAAATATCGGTCAACAATAGAGCATGATCCATTTTTCATGACATCTTGGGGATTTGCTGGTTCTGACCAAAGAAGCAGTTTCACTCAGGTATCATTAAATTGACTGTGGTATTTTTCATTCCATCGTAATCCAACCAAAAGGCCTTTCTACTTATTATAGGCTATGAACTGGATTAAAATTGTTCTCAACGGATTCAACCAGGTCATTCTCAGTCGCTGCACTTGCTGACAAAAGTAATACTTCTCTCATATCTTAACCAAAGCAAAGCTTAAACCCTGCTATTCTGAATTTTCTCCTTTACAACTTTATAATATACTATTCTATTGTGTCCAAGGAAAAAGAAACTACAAGTATGCTTCTTGTTAAATCTACTTACCATAATTTGAGACCGCAATGAAACCTTCCAAATGAACGTTGACTGCATAAGAGGAGGCGATTATGATGACTGACGGCGTAGGTTTCTCAAGAGAGATGCCCAACGAGATGAGATGATGAATGATTTCGAAATGGTAGCGCCCATTGACCATCAGTGGGGATACATAGAGAAGAGTGTCACACACCTAAAGAGAACAGTGGTTGGACTCAATATGTGAAAACATGCGTTGGTAAACTAATGTCCTCAGGGGAAAGGTGGCTAAGAGGTGTATTGTGTCGTACAATGTCAAAACATCCTGCCAAAGGTTTATGATGGATAAATCAGAAAAAGTCCATTGATGGCTCTTTCCTATAAATAGGAGGTATTACAACAATATTAATTCTCATTCTCCTCTTCACATAGAAAACCTATCTAATTGGTGAACATGCTGCCTCTACAATCAAATTGATGAAGCTATTCAAGTCATTGTCTATTTGCTGTTTCACGAAACTTCAAACACCATTCAATTTTGCATCTAATTCTCAATAAAAATTGTTAAAAAGAAGCTCGAGACATTTATGTCAAAAAGACTTTTAGATATTACAGTCATTTTTTTTAATTTATATTTAAAATTATCTGATAAAATTACTTTAAAGCATCTAACAATTTATTAGATATTAGATTTTGTGTTCATATTTTTTGGATTCAAATAATCAATTCTATATAAAAAAGCAATAACATGTACTAATTTCAAGTTATTAAATCTTGTATACTTTATAAACTCATTTCAATATTACATCAAAGTTCACACAAAATCGATTCTCTAAATCATTAGTTCTAGTCATTGCCATTTTCATAACTATTGATACTTATTAAATTATTAGAATTTTGAGTGGTAAATTCATCATTAATTAAAAAATAAAAATATTAGAATCAATGACATTCCTTAAAGTCATGTATGATATTTGAAATTATTAGTATGTATTCTCTAAAAATTTATATTTAACTAATTTCAAGCACATATCTATCAGATCATTTTTGCATATTATATGCACATATAATAGTCAACATAATTATTTATATATAGTTATTCAACATACTCAAGGTTTTTGATGTAACATAAACAATTTTACATCATGCATCTAATTAGGAGCAATAAAAAGATAACATTGGACATTTTATTCTTCATGAAGTCAGATATCTTAATTGGTCTTATCCAGTTTCATATGCCTTATTTATCATTAGAGTTGGGTTCCGTTACAACTTTGATATTTCTAGAAACATCAAGAAGGTAGGCTCACAAACAAGAAAAACTCTCATTATGTCAATTGATATCTTGGGACTTCAATTTAAAGTAAATGAAATTTTCTCAATATAAAACATATTCTAAATAAATAGAACATAAGTTCTTAAATCACATAAAATAGATTGTAAAAAAAATCAAAATAAGTGCTGAAATGATGGAAAATAAATTCTAGTAGACTCTAAACTCTTTTAATAAGTGCTGAAATGATATCACTAAACTCTTTTTAATGATTTTTTTTCATTTTTCGTGATTTATGTTTAGTGTGTAAGGTATTGGTGATATTCTAAGATTATTATATTATGATTTAATATAATAATGATTTATGTTTATATTATGATTTAATAGATATTGGTGATTATATTATGATTTAATAGTGTGTAAGGTATTGGTGATTATATTATGATTTATGTTTATTATATTATGATTTAATAGATCTCCACTTATGACTTTTTTTTTCTTTGTTATTACTGTTATTAATTACTAAAGAAAATAACAATTTGGTACACCTTGAGGGAGGATTTCTATTTTATTTCAGGACTAATGTTCAATTCATAAGTGGAGATTATCAATTAGGGTATTAAAAAAATACGAGTTAAAAATGAGCTTACGTCCATATTATATTATTAAATTTTCCTCATTCCCCTATCCTGAATAAATTTATCCATATGATATTACGCCGCTATTCCATTTGCACGATGAGTGTGATGTGTATGGGGCCACAATATTTTGGTTCACTTTAAGATCTGCCCTTGGGTTACACCCATCGAGGATTATGGGCCACTGGCACTCTCCTTATTGGTCTCACGTTGGATCTGGTAAATGTTTAACAGGCCCAGATCGGAACCTCCATTATGCCAACAAGCCGTTCGTTGCTCTTACGAGAAGTGGGAACCATAGAGAGACGGACATCAGCGTGGGGAGGAGACTAATGGTTCCTGTTTAGGTTTTGTGGCTGTCAAACAGCTCGGCGTCGATCGCCGCCGTTCCTGGCCGTTCTTCATCTCTCTAGATCATCTTCTCCTGTTCTATATCTTTTCGGAAAAGTTTCGCTAAGCTCACCCGGGGTCCTTTAGTTCGACTGGTCAGCGACAGAGTACGAAATGGAGAAATAAGAAGAACAAGAACAACAAGGGCCAAAAAAAACAAGAATAACAACGAAGCTACGAACAAGTAGAATATAAAAGAACAAGAAAGCAAGATGCGGAACAAGAAGAAGAGCAAGAGGAAGTGGAACAGGAACAGGGCCAAAAGTAACAGCAACAACAAGTTTAACATTTTTCCTTCAAATAGACCAGCATGAAATATTATTTATTGTAAAGGAGGTTATTTGGAAGCAGTGGGATCAGAGCTTGGGATCTACACGGATGATACTGTATCTCGCCACGTCCCAGACCTTTCCCTTCGTCGCGTAGAACTTCCGGTGCTCCCCCTCCCTCGTGAACCCCGCCTTTTCGAGGGCCTTCTGCATCGACGCGTTCTCCACTGCCACCAGCGCCTCCACCCTCTGCACCGTGGTGAACACCTCGAAGACGGTGGCTACCGCCAGCCTCAACGCCGCCGTCGCGATCCCCCGGTTCCAGTTCTTGCGGACGACGCAGCCTGAGAACGTTGCCCGGCAGCTGTTTCTCCCGGACTTCGGCCTGGCCGACACAAAGCCCACGGGCGTGCCACCGACGCAAATGGCCCTGAACCAAGGGTGGGGGAGGACGGTGCTCTTGAGGTACTCCATAGCTTCTTCCCGCGTTCTGCGGGTCTCCCAGTGGGTGAAGTAACTGACCTGATCGTCTGCTATCCACATAAGAAGGTGGTCGACGTCAGAGAGCTCCATACGCCGGAGGGTGATCTCCGGCGGCGTCGTCTTCTCGGGAACCATTACCTTTCTGTGAAGGAACTCAAGTGAAGGATACGACGGCCAGACAGAGCCTTGAAGGAGAAGAGTCAACCGGGGGGGAGGGGGGGGGGGGACACCCTTATTTAAAGCACAACTATTCAATAACTTAATTAGAAATAGCCCATGGAAGATCGTGAAACCCACCCTGTTGAAAAGGACTCATCTTAAAGAGGGATAGATAGAAGGAGAACGAGACTAATTGATTTAGATAGCTTATTTATAAAGAATAATAAAATTCAAAAAATCAACAAGTTGTGATAAGATGAACCTAAACATCTTAGGTTGATATATACCTTTCCTGGGTTGACCCAGTATGTTAACATTCTTTCTCTATGTACTACTTTTGTTGAGTTGGCATGCTATGTCCTTGGTTTTTTCTTTTTCAGATATTTTAAACTCTAACTTTGACTATCTTCTAAAAATATCTTTTGCAATAATTCTTTTCACTATATTTTGCCAAAAAATAATAAAAAAAGAAATGAATTGGATCTGATTACTTTTGAGTTTAATACAAATGTTATCGTAAAGACATGTGAACAGGTTTTCTTGGTCTTGTTATGATTATTTATCTACATCAAAATCCTTAGATGAACACATACATAAATTACAATAGTATTGTTAGGCTTTAAGCTAGGTCTTATAGCTTAAGGAAGATCTAAATCATTTAATCTAGTAACTGTTTTATTGAATTAGTTTTTTATACATTAAAATAGACAAAATATCATTAATAAAAATATATACATAGAGAAATTTGGAATCCAAGTAAAAGAAAATTAATGTAGGAAAAAAAACTAACTCAAGCTTTGTGAATCTTGTCCTAGGTGAATGGACTCAATGAATAGATATGGTTACAAGAGAGTCAATAATGAGGAGAGAGAATCTTGCCTCAAAAGATTCATTGTCCACACAAGAGCCAAAGCGGCAGCTAGCAAATCAAACTTCGCAAATAGATAAATGAAAACTATCTCAGATCTAGCAAGTGAGAAATCAAAGTGTTGAATTCAAGATTTTGATATCGATCAATAATCTTAGAAAAATGAAAAAAAAAAATTCATTAATATGTTATCATGATACTATGTCACTAAAGAAGATCTAAACAAGAAATTTAGTGTAGGACTCTAGACAGCTAGTCACATAAATCTAGAGTATGGGGATGAATTTATTTGTTATATATTAATTATCCTTTTGGTGTTTTTGAATCTTCAAGACATTTTCCTGAATTGAATTCAATTAGGATAGAGAGAAAGAGAGAGCAAAGAGAAAGACACTAAATTTTATAGTGATTGAACCAAAACTTTTTAGGTTCCATCCACTTTTGGGATCACTAGATTTTACATTACTTGTTAGAACTTCTAGGCTATTTAGCAACTGATTTCAGTGTAGACTTTATGACTATATCACTTCCCACTAGTTTTCTAGGCTCTTTTGGGACCCTAATAGCATAGATTCCATGAATCTATCTACTATGCATATGAATTTAGCCACCCTCTATGACATGTGATAGGTACTCCATGAGTTCCTTCACATTTCTATTCACCTACAAGATCAGCAATAGGAAGTATTTAGCATAGATGTCCCTCACCTTCTTTTAGGATAGGGAGGTTTGCTGTGAAAGAGGGTGGACATGATAAAGCTCCTTGATGTCAAAGTAGCAACATATCTTCAATTGTAGAAGCTTGGTGTGATGGGCTCCAAGAACACTTCAACTTGAATGGAGTCTTTTGCTTGGAGATGCTTGGAGAAGGCAGGGGGTGAATCTTTAAGCTCTCTCCTAATTTGAGAGCCTCTTTAAGATTTTTCTCATCCAGCCCTAATTTGAACAAAAGTCCTCTTTTATCTTTGGCTTATTAGGGCAACTGGTTGGCTTGATGGCTATTTGGGCAGACCTTAATGGGCTGCATGGAGGTTTGGTAAAGCAAAGAAAATTATACCTGTAAACATTGTAAAATTCAGAACTCTATATATTTTAACCTTTTATGTGTGCCTTTTTATGCTAGATCACTCTTTAAGTAAGCTTTCTAATGATAAGGTTTAAATTATTTTAATATGTTGGATTATAAATCTAGACCATTTTCCCTTTAAGAAAATTATAAATTAAATAACCTTGTGAAAATTATAGTAAATCAGATTATATGAGGTTCCGATTAAATACACAGTATTTTGATGATGATATATATTCATAAGATCAATTAAAAGATCAAACTATCTAATTGTCTCCACAAAGACCTTCTCAAGACATTAGTCTTTCTTTGGTCAAATAAGCTTATATATGCCTCATGCCCTTCCCAAAACATGTCCTCACCTCATAGTACTATTACCTCAACAATTGATACAAAGCACCAATCTCAATGGCACAGTTGTTTGACTGTCAAATATAGCTCATTACAATAATGTTGTGTTCATTCATTGTTAAATTATGCATCTTAAAAATCTTGACAAAGAACACTAAATGTGTGTGTCATTACTTTTTCAATGTATAAGACTTGTCTTAAAAGTTGGCTTTCATCTTGTATTCATTTGCTAATTTTCTTGGCTCTTTAATATTTGATTTTGACCTCTTAAAGTCTTACCATTTATGAGAACATGTGGTTTCGCTATGTCAACATACTTGTATAACATGTCACTGTGTAAGTAATATGGAATAAAGATTTGGAACCACTTGGGCTTACCGTGTACTGGTCTCATATTTGACCTGGTGGAGATTTGGCCACCTTAAACTTACTGGTCTCATGTTGGATCTGGTATAGGGCTCAGGTCAAGAGCTCCAATTATGAAATAGGAACCATATCAAGACATACATCATTGTTAACATTTTTTTAGGGCTATTTATGTCAACCCTCTAAGGGGTGACGGGAGGAGGTGAGTGGTTCTTGATCTCTCTAGATCATCTTCTACTCTTTAAGTTCTTCTAGGAAAAGTTTCACCTAGCTCAGTACCAGAAGAACAAGAGTAGAACAACAGGTAAGAAGAAGAAAAACAAAAAGGGCAACAAAAAAAAAAAAAAAAAGGAAAGAAAAGATGAAGAAGTAGAATAGAAAAGGAAAAAAGAGAAGTATTAAGAAGGATAAAAAGAAGTTGAAGAGAAATGATAGGAAGAAGATCAAGAAGGAAAGTAACATCAAAGGGGACAAAGGGAACATCAACAACAAAATTTCTTAACTTTGTTTATTCAAAGAGCACATGAAATATTACAAAGGAGGGGATTTGGAAATAGTGGCATTAGAGCTTGTGATTTACACAGATGACACTGTATCTTGCCATGTCCCATATCCTGCCTTTTTTCACATAGAACTTGAGGTGTTCCCCATCCAATGAACCAAGCCTTTTCAAGGATCTTCTGTGGCACCGCATTCTTGAATACCACCAGCGCCTCCACCCTCTACACTGCAGGGAGCTTGTAGATGGCTGCTACTGCCATCCACAGCTGCCATTGTGATCCCTTTGGTTTTAGTTCTCGCAGATTATGCTAGCTGAAAGCATGGCCCAGCAGCTGTCTTTCTTGGACTTCAGCTTGATTGACAGAAAAGCCATGGGCGTGCCAGCTACACAGATGGCCCTAAAGCAAGAGTGGGGAAAGATTGTGTTGAATTTGAAGGATTTAGAGTTGAGATAGATGAAGAATGATAAAATATAAATGAGAATAGATTAAAAATCATACTTGAATTTATGAAGACACAAATATGAGGATGGCCTTTTGGATCAGCACAAGGGTGTCATCTAATGACTTGCTCTAGAGAAATAGGATGCTCTAAGAGTGACTCACAATGTGTGACCTAAAGATCATGACCTCTTATTTATAGGTAATAGGTGGTTAGCCTCTTGGTGTCTTTTTTCAATTTAGCCCATCATATAATTAAAATAAAACTTGATCTCTAGACATATTTATATTTATATTCATGCTTACGAGAGAGGTCGTAATCTTAAATAGTTAAAAATCCAATAAATCACTTTAAGTGAAATTAATTCAATGATAACCCCATAATATATAATTTATATATATCATTGTCTAAATTGAGATTAATTTTAATAATCTCCTAATTAGAGAAAATATATATGATAACTTGATATTATACATTATGACCTTATGTGTTCAAAATTTTTACTATCATTGCTAAAAGCATCTCTAATAATTTTATCCATCATTATATCAATATAGAATTAAAAAGGTTTTCATTCACATTTTTACATTATTAAACCCAACAATAATCACATATATCGATATAATAAATGACATAGATCAAGTATGGATGTGTAGCATAAAATTACATGAAATGTGACTCATATATGTACATTTCTAAGTCTTTCGTATTCCAAAAAGAGATCGAATAGTCACATTCAAAGTGAAAACAATCATAAACTTTATTCATACATGAAATAAAAAAAATATATGGCTTTAAATATATGAGCATCAAAATATAAATTTCTAAAATTACATATTCTCATAAGGTATTACACTTATATGAGTAATATGCTTGTGAAAGGCCTTTGGTGGCAGTCCCTTAGTAAGTTGATTTGCTACCATGGAGTTTGTTCCAATATATTCTATAGACATATGGCAACTTTGAACTCTTTCTTTAATAATTAAAAACTTGTTGTCTATATGTTTAGACTTCGTCAAACTCCTATTGTTATTAGAAAGTATAAAGACTGATTTATTGTCACAAAATAGCTTTAGTGGTCTTTCAATTCTATCTTGAATTTGTAACCCTCTGATAAAATTCTTTAACTAAATTCTATGAATGAATGCTCGTAGTGAATTATGACATGTTTATAACTTTAGTTTATAACATGTTATAAACTCTACTGCTATAGTAGAAGAAATTATGAGTATTTATTTAGCACTCTTCCATGATATAGCTCCTTCAGCTAACAAATAAATATAACCCATAGTGAATTGTTTGCTATCAATGTCTCTAGCAAAATTGAAATCCAAATACTTGATGATCTTCAAATGATTTGATTTCTTATATATAAGCATATAA